TTGATTCGCTGTATTGACTTGGAGTCTCTGAAGCGTAATCTCTGAAATATCTTTGAGTTATCTTTGTATTTATTTTGTGTTTATTATTACGTATTATTGAAAATAATTCTTCGACATTATTGTGAATTCTCACCTGTGATTCCTTGAGTAATTGTCTTAGTTTTATTTACCTTTTGAGATTTTATTTGAAGCTATAAAACCTAATGTAACACTACTGTATAATATAATAAAAATAATAATAAAAGGTAAAATATTAAGAATAAGTATAAAATTGAATATCTTGAGACTTTGTTTAATTTGTAATATTAGGATATTTTTAATATTTAGAAGATTAATAAAATTACATAAATTTTCTATATTTAAGAATTCATAGAATTCTCAGTTTAGAATTAAAGATTATTATACTGCATTATTCACATAATTTCATTATTATTAGTCAATTGCTTTACTGATAATATATTAAAATTTTTTAATATATTAATTATGTTTATTATTTTTATAAATTGTTAAAATTATTTACTTGTCTAAATTATAAACTTAAGGTTGATTGTGATAGGATTTATTTTATAGTAATTTAGTAGTTTCTCAATATTACTTTCTATTATTAAATTATTATTACCTTAAGTTTGATAGATTGAGCATAAAATTAATACCAATATAGTAAGTATCTTTCTATAATTATCTAACTTTTTTAACTCTAATTAAAGAAATAATTTCCTAAACTTTATATAAATTTGTCAATAAGGCTATGAGTTTAAATAATTTTACACTTGTAACATTATTTACTTTCATGCATTTTGTTTTTGAGTAGATATAGACCTTTGGATCAATAGATATTCTAAATAAATTACCTTTAAAAACTTTGAAAATATTAATCTCAAATTAAAAATAGATAATACTACATTTTCTATATATATTTTTACATATTCTTTACCTAGTTTCTCAATAAATAATTTTATTATTAAAATAATTCATTATAGTTTTTATTAAATGAATTTATAGTATTATAGTGACTAAGCTCTTTCTCTTTTTTTATTTACTTGAAAGTAATATTTTTAGCTTAAATTAGAGATAGATTTTGAGAAAGTATAGAGTCTATCTTAATTTAGTTTATATTAGATAAAGATTTTTGTATTTATTTACATTTGTATTTATTTTACTTGTATTACATTTACTTTAATATTAATAAAGATTATGTGAAACTACTACACTTAAAAAGAAGATTTTTTTATGTTTTTTATATTTTATAAAAAGTTTTTTTGCAAAATAAAAATGATTTAAGAAAAAGCAATAAGAAACTAAAATAAATAAACTTCTTACTTACGTTCAGATACTTTTAAAGAATAGTTAAATAAAAGACAAAATACCTTATAAACTGTAGAACTTTTACATAAAAGCAGTAAGAAATTTTAAATTTATTAAGAAATTTTTAAATAATTCAATTTTTAAAATTAAATTTTAAAAAATTTTTTATAATAATTTTTTAAATTTTTATTTATTAATTATCATCATTTTTAAATATTTTTAAATATATTATTAAAAAATTAATACTTTTATAATAAATTTTATGATATTTTCCAAGTAAAAATTAAAAAAAAAAAATGTAATTAACTAGTGATTTTTTAAAAATAAATAAATAATAAATTATTATAAAAAAAATTAAAATTTTAAACTTATATATTTTGTTATTTATCAATCTCAAAAATATAAAAATACTATCATTTAATAGATCTTAATATAATGAATTCAATAAACTAAATTTTATATTTAAAAACACAATAATGCTCATATTTATTATAAAAATTCAAATCCAGTATAAAAGTAGAAAAAAATAAATTAAACTACTTAAAACATCTTTACAAACTAAAAGTTTACTAGTTCTAGTCATCTTAATATACTCAGAAGATAATTACTAGCAGAGTTTCTCTCAACACACAATATTAATTATTATTATTCACTCTTTTTTACCTAATAACAATTTCTATTCTAAATTTAAATTCAATACAAAAACAAATAACTCAAATTATTGTTAAATTAAAAAAGAAGCTAATAAAAATATAACTCTAACAAGTTCTTAGCTAAGTTGTTTGATTAATTTTTAATTATAATGACTTTCTATTATAAGAGCACCTATATCATTAAGTTTTGTTAAAGGCTCTTCAGTACTTTTAAACTTTAATGCTAATATGTATATTTTTATAATTATTAAATAATAAATTATTTTTAAAACTTAAAAAATTGAGAAATTAATATATATTGATAATTATAAATTTTAAAAGTTTAAAAATACTACTATTAAATATATCATAATATGATAAATCTAAAATTTTATTTTATTTTTTTATAATTATTAGATATTAAAATATTTTAAGTTTTCTAAAATATTTTAGAAATAATTTTATATTTATAATTTAGGGAATAAGAAATATATAACTATATTTAATATTTTAAATTATAAAAATTTATAGGTAAATTTGCTTATTTATTTACTATAAATTATTTTAATAAAATTTAAAATTTTTATTTAACTTTTTATAATAATATAAAAAAATAAATTAAATTAATATTAAATTTGAATACTTTTTTATTAAAGATGTTAAAATCCAGTCTAATCTTAATTAATCCTGAAACTCCTAGTCCTAAAGAAGATTTAATCCATAAAACTTAAGTTCTAAGACTAGATTCTAGGATCAGGTTCTGAGACTGCAATTCTATAGAAATTAGAACTTACAGTTCTAAGATTTAGTCCTATAAAAATTAGACTTATAATCCTTGGACTATAGTTTTATAGAAAAATAATCATTTGAAAAGAATGATAAGTAATCATTTGACTTAAATGATAAAAAAATCATTCAAAAAATTGATAAGAAATTGTTTGATTTGAAACAATTATTTTTCTATAGAATTACAAGTCCTAATTTCTATAGAACTGCAGTCTTATAATTTAAAGGACTTTAAACTAGACTGAACTTCATAGGACTGTTTAGGATTTAATTCTATGAGACTTTTAACATCCCTACTTTTTATATAATAAATATATTTAAATTTATTAGATAGATAATCTAATAAATTTATTTTAATAAAAATCAAAATTCTAATATATTATTTATTATCAAATAATATTTTTACAATCTATATTTACTTATTTTAATATTATTTAAATAATTTTTTAATTTAGAATATAAATAAAGATTTATAAAATATATATTAATAAAAATTTTAATATTTAAGAAATAATAAATAAAAAAATATTATATTATACAATTTGATTTAATTAAAATTTTTTTATTTATTATTTGAAAATTTTTATTAAAAAATTTTTTATTTTATAATAAGTTTAATTTAAAATAAAATATCATTAATAGTAATTTATATTTTATTTACTTAATAATATTTTTTTTTGATAATAAAAAGTTAATTAATATTAAATTATAAATTTAAATTAATAAATGCTTATTAATAAAGAAAAAAATAAATATTTTTATAGATTAAAAATCGTAAAAAAGGATAAATTTTACTTTATATATTAAATATGATTTTTTTTTAAAAATTAGTAATCATTAATATATATCAATTTTTCAATTTTCAATTTTTAAAAAAAATACATATATTATAATCATATTATTTTACTTAAAAAGTTTATTTAATTCACAAAAATATATTATTTTTATATTTCAATAAGTATATAAATATGATCTTAAAAGCTATTAAAAATTTAAATTTTCTATTTAATAATAATGTATATATATCTTTAATAATAAGTTTTAGCTTTTTTTTTTTTTATAAAACTTATATTCTATTGAAGAAGAAAATTTTAAACAAAAAATATCAATATATTAAAGAATAATTATTTTTAACATAAATACTTAAGGATATCTAACTGCATAAAAATATAAATTATTTGATTTTTCATTTTTTAGTTAAAAAATGTTGAATTTAAATCCAGCCGAAATTAGAATTAAGATTTTTTAGGATTATCAAAAATTTGTAATGCTAAATATAAGCGATGAAATAACACATTTAGATGGCTTAACCATAGGATGAATCGCAGTTAAACTGCAATTAACATTGGATGCTCTTTAATCTGCAGACTTGAACGCATTTACCCATCCATATTCTCAACTTGCCACACCACATAACTGATCACAGGATCCATACCAACATCAATTTATAGTGATAGCCAAAATTAACCGAAATTCTACTGCTATCGCGATTTGAAAAACAAAATTTTATTTTTTATAAGTTTCCACTGACATTCGTAACTGAAGTCAGCAAAAGTATAAATCATAAACTTGAAGATAGTATTACGTGATTGGTCCGTGTAGAAAACTAAAAAATCTTTTTAAAATATTCGTTAACCGGTTAATTGACCGGTTAGAATTAACTTAAGCCAGTACTATGAATTTGGCCTGAGTTACCAAATATTTTGACAATCAAAAAAAAAAATCTTAATTCTTGTCGAAATTAAATTTCGGCCGCAATTAAAATAACCGTAAAGATTTATGTAAACCGTTTTAACCGGTTAATTGACCGGATAAAAAATCAACCTCTGGGCCAAATTTTATAATCGACCGACTATTATAAGCAGTTTGATATTAAAGTAACTTTAAATATAATAAAATTATTTCAGTTTATTAATTATTGTTTATTTTTTAACCTTTAATTCTGATATTTAATTTAACGATTAATTTTCGATTGTTTGAGCGGTTAGGATTTATAATTTTTTTTCGATTTTATAGTAACCGTATATTAAATAATAATATTTTTGTAAGAGAATTTGTAAGGTTTCGAGAAAAACCTTTGGTTTCGTCTATAATGAATCGATAGACAGCTTTGCGGATGAAACAAAACAAATAATATAAAGTAAATATAATAAAATGTTGAAAGAAGCGATTTCATGGTAAAGCTTATGAGAAATGAACTATGACGACGGAAGGGAATGTAAGAAAAGCCGCTAGACTTAATCGTTGATACGTATCAAAAAATGCTGTAAGCCATATTTAAATTTCGATAATATAAGGAATGATATACCTAAAGTATTAGAACTTTGCATGTCGAAAGTTTTAGAGAAACTTTGGTTTGAAAATTTATTTCATATATTTAATTTTTCAAAAAAATCGACTCGGAAAGCCGTTGTGACTGATCCAAATGCTGATATCAGATCGATTGATTCGCGAAAATTAGCATTCATAAATTCATTACAGCCCTTAACATTATTAAATTAAATTGCACTTTGACCGACTTTTTACAAAATATTCGTGTTAAGGATACGATTTGTTTTTAAGAAATGGTGTTTTATCTTGCCCGATGTGAAAAGGAAACGAGTGAATTTTTTTATACAAATTAAGTCTTGCTTAATAAAGTAATAATTTGCTGGAAAGCACGTGAACAATCCCTTATATTAAAATTTGACATTTTACAAATTCCTAAATATAAACTAATTCTGTTTGGCAAAATTGTTTGTTTATATTACTCGTTTGTTTTAAAAACAACCTGGGATTCAATTTAAGACAAAAAATCTTATATACTTAGTCTGCACGTGACCGATAGTAAATCATGGGTTACTTTTTTTTTTTACGCAGCTGATCCGTTGAAGCATGAAATAAATATTTTTAACAAATATTTCTCAAAATGCAGAAAGAAAAAAAAAAAAATTAAAATTAAATGTCAAAACATCACAAAATCACAAATATACAGAGCAATTGAGAAATCACAAATCACATCGGGATCTTTGAATTCAACACAACATTTTTTTCATCAATAAAGGGTCGCACCCTTAAAAGTTTATCGGAGCTGGCTAATCGTTTTCGGCATTTTACGGCTGCCTTTCAATCAAACGATTTGAAAAATGTTTAAATTAAAAAAAAAAAAAATGATGTTGATTTTTAATTAGTAATTTCGGTTTTTTGTGTTTCAAATAAAAACGTTTCTTTAAAGAACGCACATTTTTAATTTAGGAAGATACACGTTTATGCTGCATGAAAAAAAAGAGATCTTTACAAAAGAAATACGTTTATGTATTGCTGAAATAAGCTTTATTTTTATGGATGTCGCTATCATGAGAAAATTACATATAAAAGATAGTTTGCTCATTTTTTCTGATGATTGCTTCTTTTTTGGGATCTATTGAATGTACCTGGACCATTATTATTTTTTTTTTTTTAGAGGACTCAAAAGTTCTCGTAAAATCTCTCCCCAAAAATGATATCACATCGGATGGTTTTTTACGATCTTGAACAAACTCGGAATATTGTTGATTACCGTGCAATAACAAGATATTTAACGAGAAAAAAAAAAAGATGATCTTCAGAGAAGAAATCATAGTAAATATTTAAATCGATAGAAAATAAACTGGAATGATTTGCCTTTACTTTTTAAATCGTTATTGAAAGCAATGAATGTTTCGCAACTGATTGATTAACCTAAATAATAGCCTAGATAAGTCAAATAAAGAAGAAAGTTCGGAGAAAATTGTCAATATCAATTATTTTCCGCGTATTTCTAATTTTGCCTGCAGAAAAACATTGATTAGTGATGAAAATAAACTTAAATAACCACCGGCGTGCATTATTGTGATCACGTGCTATCGTAAGAATAATTTTCGTAAAAAAAAAAAAGCGGTTGAAAGGGCGTGACAAAAAAAGAGCGAACCATAAATAGATTAACATTATCCTCTAAAGTTGGTAAAGTGAACGTTCGGCATTTGCTGCGCCAAAAAGAATTTTGATTGATGATCCGACACAAACATTTAACAATAATATTTTATTTTATTGGATTTTATTTTCGGTAATTTCCGATCACTTATTTTAAAGAATAGTTAATAATCTCGTGCAGAAATCAGTGAAGTTTTACATATTGTTCGAATTGTGACCAATCTTTTGCCTTTTTGTTTGATTTAACGGGAAATTAGGGGATCATTTACGTGAAAAATTGATATTAGAATAATCAAATAATGTTAGTCGAAATTATTATTATCGATTGAATTTTAATTTTGCGTTTTAAAACCAAAAAATATTTAGGTATAAAATATATAAGACCAAATTAACGTAGAAAATTTTTTTTTTATACATCTAAATACTTAATGACCCCATAAACAAGCTATATATTTCTAGATTTTTTTTTTTTTTGATGCAATGCAAATCTTAACCAATCTACCAACAGACCAATACAATCGTTCAACTTTTTTAAAAGTAGTAAAAATTTTTACAAAGGCAAGAAAAAAAGTCTGAAATTCCATGTGGCAAAATTTTGATGTATTATGATAACATTTCCAACTTTACAACCAGGATTGCTTACCTTACCTTACTGTATTGTATTGAGTATTGCATGGTCAGATTACTATTTTAACAACGTCCATTGTTTAAATCTATCTTATAAAAATATGTTACGTGTAAGTTCGTTGCAGAAGATTTTTTTTTTTTATTTTATTTATTTTTTTTTTTTTAAAAAAAAAAATCTAAACAAAAAACCGCCGAAACAAACTGAAATGTCCGATGTTATCATCGTTTTTAGGTTTAATGTGAATGAAAATAAAGGCGAAAAATTTGCTTGAGGGCTTTTCATTTAAGAATGGAATCTTGTGCATTTAAAATATTTTATTAATATTTTTTATATTATATATATAATATATGTATATATGTACATACTGTATATTAAATATATTTAATCCTTAAAGTAAACCCTCCGCCAAAACAAATTTCTAAATTCAGTGTTTTTTTTTTTTTTTTATTTTTTAAACAGAAAAGTAATTTATCAAGAAAAAAAAAAAAAAAAGAAAAAAAAAATCTATAAATTTTAGTCGAGGAAAAAAAATGTAAACAATTAAGCAAAATACATGAGCAAAAGTCAAAAAAAAATTTTTTTTCAGCCCAATTTTTTCTATAAGAATCTAGAAAATATATTTTTATAGTAAATTCAAATTGTCAACATTGAATAAGGATCTTCAAAAATTTTTTTGATTCCAAACTTTAAATGAATAATGGTCTATATTACATTTTTTTTTCTAAAAAAAAAAAAAATTTCAGCCCCAGTCTAACGCTAATTATAATTATAATATAATAATAAAAAAAATTCCAATAATGATATGAAACTAACAATGAAAATGATATTCATGCATGTATTGATGTTCAAATGCTAATCATAATCTTTAATGGTTACTCCCTTTTTTTATTACCTAGTTAAACTAAATTAAATACACTTAATAATATAATATAAAAATATATTTATTTAAAATTGAAAATCCAGACTATTTTTGCTCGCAAATAATATTTACAGTATTTATTAAAGAAAGAAAAAAAATTATAAAACATTTTAAACAATGTCTATGAATTTGCCTCATTGTCCTTTATTATCCCTTTTTTTTATAAGTCACGAAACAAATCAGTATCATCACTTATTTTTTTTTCAAAAAAAAGGGAAAAAAAATTTTAAAAATATGAAATTATTACGTTGATAGAAAAAAAAATAAATTTATCTTAAAACTTAAATCTTGATTAGGTAACATGGCATAATCTTTTTGTTTCAATAACAAGTTCATAACGATTTCTTTTTTCAGTTTTATTTTTTTTTCAATGCACCGAATTCCCAAGTTAGGACCAATTCAATTGCCCGAAACGTAAATTGATACGAGAGAGATCATTATGGCCGGCTCATCAAACGACTTTATGCCATGTACACTCAACAAGCATTTTTAAAGACGGTTTTCTGCTTTTCAGATGCATACACGCATAACAATGTACAACTATGCCAATAGTTTCTAATAATTAAGGAATATTATGGAGCTTACCGACCTAATATTAGTTGAGTGATGAATAAAGTGATTCCACTCCAATCACGATTTTAAATCACCTTTATGCTAATTACTATAATAAGTCTATCAACAATGAATTTCTTTGTCCATATCAAAAGAAAACACGCTAGTAAGGAATTAGATCTTTTGAAAGCTATATTTGTTTAAATTTGAAATGTAAGAACTTATTGCATAAATGATAACGAGCGCGTGTCAATGAACTGTGCAAATCGCGTTACAATTATTTCCTTTTTATTTTTAGTAATAAATCTTGCACAACATGAACGAAAAAAAAAGTCCTTAAATGAGCACATAAGCACTCGAGTAAACTTATTTCCCGCACTTTACAACATCAAAATCATTAAAGGAGCATAACATGTACTTAAAAAGTATTTCAAGGTTTGAACAACTTTATTGTTTGATCTTATTCTTATCTTGCTCTTGTTTATTAAATTAGGAAATATTAAATCTCCCCTTTTATACACAAGTACTTTGCTCTCATAATCAATATAACGTTAATTAATTGTAAAGATGCATTTTTTCTTTTTTTTTTTTTTTAGGATTTGCATACATCAAATTAATAATTTGTAAAAAGAATGGTTATCATTAATTATAAATAGATAATATTTTACATCATTGAACTTATTTTAATAATTCTAGGTTTGGCCTTATAGAAGAAAATCTTGTAGATTTATAGGTTAATCTTTTGAAATCTTCACAAGTTAATACGTTGAGATGAAAAATACAAGTTTTAACGCGAGAATGATAGTCGAAAGGCGAACAAATTTAACAAGAAATCGAGGGAAACTCTATGAAATCATGAATGGTCTTATTAAAAGTAGGCGGGAAGATTTGTAATGATTGAATGATGTAAGCTTATGTAAGGTGTTTGAAGGCATGATAGAAGTGACTCTTGTTTCATGCTGCGCATATGACAATTAGTATTAATTTAGTTCTTCCTTTTTTGTTCACACGCTATGTGGCGTAATATGCAGCATTGTGTGATTGCGCAATGATTGGTCACGTGCTATCAAATACCTTCATTACGATAAATTTTTAGAGGTGAATGGGTTTTTTCTTCGAGAGAATCTGAATCGAAAATAACAGAAATTATTGCAATAAATTCTTGGAACGTAATAATATTATTTTGTGCAAGTGCGATACTTAATTTTTTTCCCCTAAATCGGATAAATATTTATCCGCGTAGCGTTTTGATCCGGTTACAAGTATAGCACGAAATTCATTATGGTGGGCGTTGGTCAACCCCCCCCTACATACATAAATCGGATGAATGAAATTTGTTTTTTCATTTTTGACCAAAAACTGAATAATTTAATTCGTATTTACCAAGGCAAACGTTTGATGCAAGAAATAATATAATTCCAACGCCGACCTTAAAAGGAACCTATCAAAAAAAATCGGCACATGTGCATAAAA